TTTCCAGTCTTCTTTTTGATATGTCAGATTGTGCTCTTTAAGTCTTTACATTCAAAAACATTTTCTCCAGCCTCAAATACACTGTATCTGAATGGGATGAATTTACCAAACAATATAGATCTTAAGACAAACCCAGCCTTAAATTTGATTTCCTTTCTAGCCACTATTTTTCACTTCACAGCACATCAATTTTGCTCTCTCATTGCCAAAAATACTAATGCATTTATTTGTTTTCCTCAGTTTTAGGATCCTTGGGCTCTCCTGAGCAACTCTACCCTTCAGAGCTGCTGCTCATTGTCTCCCACCTAGCAATTTCCTGAATAAACTGGTCTGTTCCCCTAAAGACAGGATCTGTACTGTACTCTCTCCTTCCTCAGCTACCCCCAGGATCATGAAATCCACTCCTCAGTCACTACAGCCCTGGCTTTGATAATCTAGTCATCGATGACCGCATCCCCCAGTTCTTCCTTGTTGGTGAAGGACAGATCCAGCTGTGATGACCCCTGGTTGGCCCATCCAGTATCAAGAAGTTATCCTTGACTCCTTTAAGAAATCTGTTTGCATTCTGAAGTGTGATGCTTATAGCAGATGTTGAGCAGACTGAAAATGCCAGGGTCTGTGATCAACAAACTTCATTGTTAAAGTTTTCCTCAGCAGGTTGGCTGGCCAGATGGCAAAGACGCTCTTGTTGCATTTTGTCAGGTGGATCTTGTCTCTGTCCAGTGATACAAGATATGACTGATGTCTTGTTTCAGACAGGGTTAGCTACCACACTGATCTATATGCATTACAGTGACTCAGTAACTGCTTTGGAAGCTCTATCTCCTCGAGTGTACACAAACACACACAATCCTGGTCTACTCACCCTGTTTTTCCCTAGCTGGTCATATACCTGGAATACTTAATTTGTGAATAATTCCAATCACCCCAAGGGGCTTAATAATGACAAATAAGTGATCATTTCCAATTCTCTTACTCATTCCCTCATATTTTACCTCATTGTAATGTTTGATGGCATAGAAAGTGTTTCTGCATTTCTATTTTCCTCGTTCTTTGCAGCATGAGTTCAGTTGGCTCATAATACCTCAGTTTACATGGCATTTCAAACAATTGGTCTCCAGTATGTTACTAATTTAGCATGTTCTCAGCTGCTCTGCTTAGTCTCCAGCCACAGTGAGCCCATACCTGTCAGGCACAGGGCAGCATAGCTCTACATCCCCCACTCTTTTAAAATTGTGGTCTAATACTCCACAATATCTATTTTTTCCCTTGGAACTACAGACAGAAAGGGCACTTCACACCAAGTGTATTTTGCCTTCTTTCTCTAACTTATTGGTAGAAAGAGACTTCAAGGCAATATCTAACTTTCTGTTTGAGTGCCTTTCAAGATACCTGCAGTTTTCTACGGCCTGTTCCACTTGATGCCACGTAATTGGTTCCAAACTCAATTATCTCCCAGAGAATCTTACAAGCTTCTGCAGTACTGCAATTGCTTTTTGTGTTTTTGCTTTGGGGAGACAGCATACTGTTGTATTTTTGTGTCATTTTTGAAGGCTGTCCACTCTGAATTATACAGGAGTATCTCTTGTAGCCTGTCTGATTAGTGCTATAAGGAATTGTTACAGATAGAACTCACAGAGTTTTGTTTCAGTAGATCAACTACTGGTTATCTGAAGGTTTGACAATTCTAGCCTGTCAGACTAGACTTTTTTGGGTATAAATGACCAATCCACTTCTTTTGTTCCTATTCTTTCTCATTCTCCTGATGCTGTCCTCTCCCATGGTTTCTGTGGCAACAATTTCTGAGTGTAGTTGTCCAAGAGGCATTAATTTTCTCAAATACTACACTTTTGACATATACACTTGTAGACCACAGATATTAAATACCTCTATGAATTTAGTTGCTAAAGAATGCTTACTTCTGAAAATCATATAAAGTATTATTTCATATTATGGATATTAAACTATCTTTTTTACAGTTAAATGATGCATTTTTTATCTAGACCTTATGTGCATAGACATTATTCTTAATAATTATGCATCTTGATGTTCTGGATGTTTCCCATCTATGAAAAACATACAGGCTGGGACATTCCATGTCAAGAACTGAGCAGGCTGCCCAGGGACATGGTGGAGTCACCATCCCTGGAGGTATTTAAAAGAAGCATAGATGTGACACTTAGAAACATGGTGAAGTGGTGGACTCAGCAGTGCTGGGTTAACAGTTTGGGGTTTTTTTCCAATATAAATAATTCTGTGATTCTGTATCTTAGCTAGCTTTATGCTTCTTTAATGCAGACATCAACATCCTGAACAAGTCATCCAGGTTTCTGCTGTAGTCTGCAGATGAACAGACAGATCTAGGTGACTCATTCCCAAGCAGACACCTCAAGTTGTTGATACAAATTACTACTATACGGGCCAGCTTTGTTTTTTAAGATGGCTGAGGCTGGGGTGTGCAAATCCCAGACTCACAGAAACCAAAGAGCTGGTAATCTAGAGCTGGAGCCTCTCTACATCCCCCTCTTCCTAGGAGGGAGCCTGCAGGAATGGCTTTGGCAAGGCAACGGCTGTCCAGGTATCAGAAGTCTCAAGTTAGTTTCGGATTAGAGTGATTAAAATGACAGAAGGAAAAGGTGTTCTTAGCTCTATTTTTAAATTTGCTTTTATCGTTTGGCCAAGAGTTAAGCCCGTTCACTCTCAGCTCTCTAGGCCGCAAGGGAACCCTGTCCCTGGAAGCAGCTGAGCACTTGCATTAAGGAAACGTAGAATCACACAATCATTTTGGTTGGAAAAGGCCTTTAAGGTCATCAAGTGCAACCATTAAGCTACCGCCCTGCCAGGGCCACCCGTGCCAGTGCCCGACAACCCTTGCAGTGAAGAATGTTTTCCTAATATCCAATCTAAACTTGAGGCCATTTCCTCTCGTTTTCTTGCTTGCTCCTTGGGAGCAGAGACCAACTCTCGCCTGGCTACAACCCCCTGCCAGGCTGTACAGAGCGATGGGGCAGCTCTCCCCTCAGCCTCCCTTCCCTCCAGGCTGCACAACCCGGTTCCCCAGCAGCTCCGCCCAACCTCCCGCTGCCCACGCGTGCCCAGCGGCCTCCCGCCGGGTCTCAGCTGCGCCCGCGGGAGGAAGGAGCAGGCGGGGCCCGAGCGCTGAGAGCAGGG